GCATGTGCCCTGACCGGGAATCGAACCCCGGTCGCCTGGATCCTAGGTTGACGCTCAACCACTGAGCCACACCCGGCTGGGCGGCAATGTATAAACTTTCTTTAGATTCTGATTCAAGCAATATGTTAAAATTTGAGCCCAGCTGGGCGTGGCTCAGCGGTTGAGCATTGACCTAGGATCCAGGAGATTGGGGTTCGATTCCCGGTCAGGGCACATGCCCAGGTTGCGGGCTGCAGCTGATCAATGACTCTCTCATCATTGATATTTCTATCTCTCTCTCTCCCTCTCCCTTCCTCTCTCTGAAATCAGTAAAGATATATTTAAAATAAATAAATAATTTGAATCAATCAGTAGAATTTAAGTACCGAATATATATAATATTTACTTTTTGTATGATAATAGAATTGTTGTTATGTTTTTTAAAAAGAGACCTCATCTTGTAGAGATAGATACTAAAATATGTATGTTTGAAATGAAATTATATCTGGAGTATGGGTAGGGGCATAATGAAATAACATTGGCATTGTATTAAAGCTGGGATATCTGTATATATAGGGTTCATTACATTTTATGTATGAAGGTTTTCATAATAGTGATGTTTTTAAAAATTATTTCTGTACTCAGAATCTAAATGTAACATTTAAACTTCCTGATAGCTTTTTTCATATTTATTTACCAGAATGGTAGCTGAATGGAGGTTGTCTCGAGGTGTTGAAGAACAGACACAAGCTTTCTTTGAGGGTTTTAATGAAATTCTTCCCCAGCAGTATTTGCAATACTTTGATGCAAAGGAGTTAGAGGTAATGAGCTTTTCTTTTTCCCTCTGCAGCATGCTGATAAATTATGCTCCAGTTGTCTGCTTTCAACTCACTTTCCTATCTGTCCAGTGGCAATAGTATTTTTTATGCAGGAAGGATGTTTTAAACCACCCCTGTGGTTTAAAAGGTCCATAATTTATAAAAGTATTACTAAAAAAAAGTATTACTATCAGAACCTCTCTACAATGAATGACTTACCTGAATCTATGTCGATAATACACATTGGAAGCTCAACCTTTAGGAGTATTGTAGATACAATTATTGATTCACAGTTTACAAGCCAAAACCTCTTGATTAATTTGTTTTTTGAAAGTTGTTTAATATTAGTCCTTTCTTATCTATGTCTAGCTTATATAGGTTATACAGTTACCTACAGAAATCATTTCTTTTTCATCCCTAAAGGTCCTTTTATGTGGAATGCAAGAGATTGATTTGAATGACTGGCAAAGACACACCATCTACCGTCATTATACTAGGACAAGCAAACAAATCATGTGGTTTTGGCAGGTTTGTTTCCATTTATTTCTATTGACAAATACCATAATTTTTTAGAAATGTTTTTACCATATATGAAAATAAGTTACAGAACAAACTGTACTAGTATGTTCAGGCCCCTCATTCCATCCTATGCGTTATAATAAATGAATATAGATTATAGCAGCATCCCTTTAAGACTGTTGCCCAGTAAGTTACACACACCTTGCACCTTTGCCCGGAGTATAACTCCAGATGATAAGACGCTTTAGAATTTTATAGAACTGTCTAAAGTATGGTTTTTGTCATTCATACCTCATTAAGAATTACATAATGTTCAGAAGGCAAACCTAAGAAAGAGGCTTGGTGCCCTAGCCAGTTTGGATTAGTGGTTAGAGCATCAGTTCATAGAGTGAAGGATCCAGGGTTCAATTCCGGCCAAGGGCATGTACCTCAGTTGCAGGCTCAGTCCCCCGCCCTGGCTGGGGACATGCGGGAGGCACCAGTCGATGTGTCTCTCTCACATCAATGCCCCTCACTCTGAAAGCAATGGAAAAAATATCCTCAGATGAGGATTAAAAAGAGACTTGGTTTGGAATCATAATGGTGTCTCTCCAAAAAATGTCTGCTATACCACATGAAAAGATTTTCACCATTACTGATTAGGGAAGTGCAAATCAAAATCACAGTGAGATACCATTTCATACCTATTAGGGTGGCTGCTATCAAAGAGAAAAAATAATCATCCTTGGTGCAGATGTGGAGAAATTAGAACTCTCCTGCATTGCTGCTAGGAATGTAAAATTGTGCACCACTTTGGAAAACAGTTAGGTGGTTTCTCAAAAAGTTAAACATAGAATTAACATATGATTCAGCCCTGGCTGGTGTTGCTCAGTTGGTTAGAGTCTTTTCCCATATACTGAAAAGTGGTGGGTTCGATACCTGATCAGGGCACATACCTACGTTGCAGGTTCAATCTCAGGTTGGGGTGCATATGGGAGGCAACCAATCAATTTCTCTTATATCCCTCCCTTCTTTCCCTCCCTCTCTTTCCCCCTCCCTCTCTTCTTTCTCTTCCTCTCCCTTTCTTCCTCTCTCTCTAAAATCGATGGACATATCCTAGGTTGAGGATTTTTAAAAAAGAATTAACATATGATCTGGCAGTTCTACTCCTAGGTATACCCAAAAGAATTGAAAGCAAGGACTCATATACCTATATACCTATGTTCATAACAGCATTATTCACAATAGCTAAAAGGTGGAAGCAACCTAAGTGTCCATCAATAGATGAGTGGATAAACAAAATGTATATACATATAAAGGAATATTATCCAGCCTTAAAAAAAAAAAGGAAGTTCTGACATAGGCTACAGCATCATGGCTAAACCTAGAGTATATTATGTTAAGTGAAATAAGCCAGACAAAAAAAGGACAAATACTGTATGGTTTCATTTATATGAGGTACCTAGAATAGGCAAAGTCAGAAACAGAATAGAATAGAAGTTACCACGGGCTGGGGAAAGGGGAGGTGGGGCACTGGGGGGATAAGTTTAAGGCATTCAGAGTTTTTGTTTGGGATGATAAAAAAAAGTTCTGGAAATATTTGTGATAGTTACACAACAAAGTTAATAATGTACTAATTCCATTGAAATGTGTACTTAAAATGGTAAATATGTTATGTATATTGTACCACAATAAAAATTTTTTTTTAGCCCTGGCCAGTGTGGCTCAGTTGGTTGAAGTGCTTTCCTGTACACTCAAAGGTGGTGGGTTCGATTTCCAGTCAGGGCATATCCCCAGGTTGTGGGGTTCTATCCCCATTGGGGCACATACAGAAGGTGGCCAATCAGTATTTCTTTCTCACATCAATGTTTCTCTCTCTCTGAACTCCCCCTTCCTCTCTCTAAAATCCATACAAAACTTAATTTAAAAATTTAAAAAAATGTTTTTAAATTTCTGCTATTCAGTTAAAGTTATAAGAAACTCAGATAAACTGAGCTTCTGTAACAAATAGGATTAGCATTTTAAAAATATTTGATAGCAGTACAGTAGGAGAAAAATTATCCGTTAAAAAAAAGTTTTTGATTGACTTTGGTGGAGGGGGGGAGAGAGAGAGAAAAAAAACAACAACTATCTATGTGAGACAGAAACATCAACTGGTGGCCTCCCCACTCGCCTTGACCAGGGATCCAATCCACACCCTGGATATGTGCCCTGGCAGGGAATTGAACTGGTGACTTTTTGGAGTACAGGATAGTGCTCAACCAACTGAGCTATACCGGCCAGGGCAGATAAAAATTATTCTTTACCAAAAAAATATTTGGCTGAGCCAAAATACTTGTGCTACAAGCTAGAAAGCATCCTCAAGAAACCCAATGTTTTGAGTCAGAGTTATTATATAGGAGTTAAAAGGCATATAATTCTGGCAACGCTTAGCTGTTCCTTAAAATCTAAAGAACATTGAGAAAAGGAGGTTATTAGGGTATATCTGGATCAGAATTCTGAAATGAGTTTGATTTCATTTGTTCATAAAATCAAAATTCTATACTTCCTCAAGCTCTGTGTCCTATGTAATGAATATCCTATAGGACAGGCAGATCTGGGGTGGGGGAAGGAGGTGCTGCCCTAGAACTGATCTTGAGACTGCATGAGTAGGGAGCTCTTGGGCCCAGGGCACCCTCTTTTTCTATTTCCCCATAAGGATGTGGTCCTAAGATTTACATAGGGGAGGTGGGTGGGGCTTTGACCAACATGGAGAAGCTCCTCCATCCACAGTGGTCATCACTATCTCGTGCACCTAACTCTGGGAGTTCATCTAAGATTTGAAATGATTGTTTCTCTTGTTTAGTATGCTAAACATAACATATGACCTATATATCTCTTTAAATGTGCTTTTAACAGTTTGTTAAAGAAATTGATAATGAGAAGAGAATGAGACTTCTACAGTTTGTTACTGGAACCTGCCGATTACCAGTTGGAGGCTTTGCTGACCTCATGGGTATGTATATAAGATTACTTTTCCTATAGAGAAAATTGTTTGTTACACTGCTGTTACACCAATGTAACAGAAATAACAAAGATAGGTGTAGCCATTTTCTTAAATAGTCATAGTTAACCTGGATTTGTCTAAACTTTTCAATTACTTTGTACTCATCTCCAGAAATTTTAAATCTTTAAACTAGACCCCACATTTTAACGCAGGATAGCAGTCTTCTATCTGTAAATCTGTTTGTTCATTCAGTCAGTTGGCAAACATTTTTGTCTCCTATGAGCCAGGCACTATTGGCTGTATTATACTGTATTTTAATGATGTGTTTACCACCCTTCCCTGTCATATCTGGAGCTCCTTAAGATACAGATGCGTATCTTCATCATCTTATTTCTGGCGCCTAGCACAGTGCTTATCATATACTCGTCAATGATTAAAGTGCGTTGTTTTGAAATGAATGACCATAAGAATACTTACTTTACAATTAAATAATAAAATAAATTCAAGTCTTCCTTTAACACCAGTATTACATCAAGCACCATAGGAGGGTAGAAGAGGTTGTGGTCCCTAAGCCTGCTTCATCTGAAGCAGAGTCACAGTTAAAAGAACTAGGCAATTTTGGATATAGTGAGGAATGAGTTTAAAAGTCTTTAAGAGCCAAACCAAAAGAATTTGGACATTACTCTGAGGGTATTGGAAGCTATGGAAACTTTTTGAAGAAAGGAAAACTTGTTGAAGCTGCATTTTAGGAAGATTTGATGGCAAGGCACATAGCATGCATTAAAAGAGAGGAGGGTCCTGGCTGGTGTTGCTCAGTTGGTTGGCCTTGTCCTGTGTACATGGAGGTTGCCGGTTCGATTCCCTGGCAAGGGCACATGCCCAGGTTGCAGGCTCAATCCCCAGTAGGAGCTGTGGGGGAGGCACCGCATCGATGTTGTGCTCTTGCATCAGTGTTTTTCTCTCTCCCTCTCCCTTCCTCTCTCTAAATATCAATAAACTATTCTTAAAAAAAAAAAAAAAAGAGGGAGAGCCTGGAAATAGGAAGAAATTATTGGAACAATGATGAGAAACTGATCTTAGGAGATGAAAGTAGAGATGGAAAAGAGGGGATAGACACTAAACAAGTTTCAAAGGTAGAACCAGTACTTGATTAAAAGATGAGATAAGAAGGAAGAAAGTTAAAGGTAGTATATTATGAAACACGGAGAAATGAGGAAGTTCTGACATGTAAAGAACATGGTTTGGAGGTGTTGGGAGAGGATAATGGGTTGATTAGAATCTGCTGAATTTAAGGTGACTGCCAGACAACCAAATAGAAAATATTCATACCCATTGTGTATATTGTGTTTAAAACTAAAATTACGCTCTTTATGTGTTTTATTATGTGAAGTATTATTAATTATAACATTGTTATTCTGACTAAAGAATGCTAAATAAAACCGCATTTTCTCCTCTTAGGCATACATTAGCAAAATGGTTGTCAAACTTCCACAACTTATCAAAATCATCAGAAAGCTTGTTAAAACATATTTCTGAGCCTCTCCCCCAGAGTTTTTTATTCAATTCAGTAGGCTTGGGATAGGGCCTGTAGTTTTGTGATTCTAACAAGTTCCCTGGTGGTGCTAATCTGATGCTGCTGTATTGGGAAATCACAATTTTAGAACCATTGCATTATCAAACTGTTGATGATTTCACTATGTTTTAGGGAGCAATGGGCCTCAAAAATTCTGCATTGAAAAAGTTGGAAAAGAAAATTGGTTACCCAGAAGTCATACTTGGTAAGTAAAATCAGAAAGAGTAGAGAAAATAGCTTTTTCCAGTTGTTCTATAGATATTAAAGCCTATTAGAAATGAAATATTTTCCCCATTGTATTGAATTATTTTTAACAGCTTTATTGGGACATAATTTACTATAAAACGCATTTTAATTCAATGATATTTAGTAGATTTACAAAGTAGTAACCATCACTACAATCCACTTTTAACATATTTTCATCACCTTAAAACAGTTTGCCCATTTGCAGTCAATCCTTTTTCCCACTCGAGTTGTTTTTTAAAATGTGATAGTTAGAAAACTTATAACTTTCCTCTGAAGGCACACGAAGAACTGAATTCTAGATAGCTGTTGGGAGAACTGCTTTCTAACATGGTGAACAGAAGTAGTATTTCTCATAAATGTAGTTTAACCACATTTCCAGAAATGTACAAAACTGAAAAGCAACTGTTGGAATTCGACCTAAAGCTCAGCAATATTTGAACTTTATTTTGTGAGACATTTCTTTGGTCATATATGGACTTGAAGGATATTCTTTTATTTTCCCCATTTCCCCTTTCTGACTGTTTTATTGTTTGTTCCTTATATACATGTGATTTTTAAAAAATAACAACTTGGCCCATTTGTTGAAAATCAATTGATGGTAAATATACTGGCTTATTTCTGTATTCTCAATTCTATTCCATTGAGAGATATATATATATATATCCTGAATGATGATACCACATTGTCTTGATTACCGTAGCGTTGTAGTAAGTTTTGAACTTAGGGCGTGTGCATCTTCTAACGTTTTCAAGATTGTTTTGGCTATTCTGGGTCCTTTGACTTTTCATGTGATTTTTTAGGATCAACTTGTCCATTTCAGCAAAGAGGTTAGTTGGAATTTTGATACAAATGACTTTGAATTTGTAGATGAGTTTGAGGGAATATTGCCATCTTAACAGTGTTTTGTCTTCCTATCAGTGCACATGGGATGTCTTTCCATTTATTTGGGTCTTTTTAATTTATTTCAACGATGTTTTATAGTTTTCCATTATACAAGCTTTGCATTTCTTCTGTTAAATTTCTGAAGTATTTTATCCTTTTTGAAGCTATTATAAATGGAGTTTTCTAATTCATTTCAGATTCTTTATTGCTAGTGTAGAGAAATACGATTTTTGTATATTTACCTTGTACACGTTTTGATTTGACTTCTTGTCCCTTGCTTTTTTAAAACCTAGAACATACTGTGTCATTACACTGCTGTGAACAGCTTACCTCAGTTATACATGAGAACCAGCCTCATTACGTTATCAAATTCCATGTTTCCATTTGCAAGAACTAACAGAAGTAATAACTATAAATTTATTTTTCCTTTATGGATAGTATTATTTCTTCTGTTACCAAACATTTGCCTAGGCCTTGTACTAAAAATGTGGCAGAGGGCCAAGGCTTTAGGGCAGATTCACTGCCTGTTACCTAGTGAAAGTGATATTAATAATATGGCCCAAAATTAGAAGATGCTTTTAAAAACACACAGCTACGAAAAAGACAATCATTCAGTAGGAGAATATTAGATATTAGAGCAGAAAATTATTTCTTACTCTTAAAGTGGTATACTTAAAACCTTTTGATAATAGACCTATGGTCTACAAAGCCTAAAATATTTACTGTCTAGCCCTTTACAGAAGAAGTTTGCTGACCACTCATCTAGATTAGGGTGGATGGGGAGCATGAGAGGACTACTAACGTTTTACTAAGTACCTGCTGAGCACCAGACCTGTACTATAACATGTTTGTTTCTTCCCTCTACCCTGAGAGGTAAATGCTGTCATTCCTGTTTTACCAAAGAGGAAACCGAGACTCAAAAAGGCAATAGCGCTTGTTCAAAGGCCCAGGGATAGAGCTAGGACTCAGCCAGTTTCGCCTGACTTTGAAAACCAGTGCTGTTATGCACCGCACTGCGCATATGATTCTTTGTATAGCTCCTTTTCTCAGACTAAAACTTCTTACTTTTAGTTTTAACCGCCTGGACCTGCCACCCTATAAGAGCTATGAGCAACTAAAGGAAAAGCTGCTGTTTGCGATTGAAGAAACAGAAGGATTTGGACAAGAGTAACTCCTGGGAGCTCGCACCACCGAAGGACGAGAACTTACGTGCAGTGCTTGTCCTTTTCCCTCCTCTGCCTGTTGCACATCTTGTTGTAAAATGGGACTGGGACTGTTTAGGGAGTTCTCTGAGTGTAAGTAAATTAATGTTATCATTGAGATTTATATACCAGTGATTCTGGATTTTACTCGTTTCCAGAAATCAGATCTGCAAGTGACTAGTCAAAACCTTACTTAACATGAGATTTAACACAGCAATGAGATCTGACTTGTCTTATTCCACTAGGTTGTTTCCTTAATTATGTGTATGTGTATCAGAAGTCTCAGTCTTCCTTCTACATCCTAGAACAGTAACAAAAACATTTTAAACTCATGTACTCTAAAACACTGCCATCCTAAAGCAGACTTTATGTGAGTGAAAGGATTGCCTCATCCAGAAATTGTCATTATGAAGAGGGAGATTAGGCTCTCCCCAACCCTACATTTATTTTGTTTTTAATTCCACATGCTCCAGGAAATATATGTAGTATGATCTCTAAAAGCCCTAGTTTTTTCCCCCAAAGCCGAGACACTCTGCCTTTTTGTTGGTAGGGGGAAAAAATGCTATTGCTTTGTCTTACAGAGCGAATGTCTGCCAACTACCCATTCATTATATAAGTCTGAACTTTGGTAATATATGGCTATGGAAATTAAGCCTTCTATAAAGCTTTCCTATAGAGGTGAATTCTCATATTGAAATGTAGTTACCTGCAATATTTACTAGAGATTTATGAAATTAAATTAAGAGATAATGTAAGAAAGTAGACTTTTCTGATTCTACATAATGCTTGATGATTCATTTAGGGACCTAGAAATATTGTGTGAAAATGTATAAATATCACCCAAAAGGCTTTCTGCCCTATATTTTTAAAATACAGAATAGTTATATTTTAAGTAGCCCCGGCCCTAGTTCTATAGGGCTTGGCTATTTAATATTTTTATGGAAAAAACATTTAGTTCTGGAAAAGGTAAATGCTTGTATATATTTTTGCAGCCTGGGATCTCCCTTACTCCATTTCTTCCTTTAATTTAAGTGGCCACATATATATGTCTTCCCTGCTGTGTTAGGAAAATGGGGGCTGGATATCCCAAGAATCAGAGGTTTTATAAAAAATACTGCAAATAGACAGCAGACATAAATATCTACCAAATGCTATCTTAAATTTTGATCCAAACTGAACATTTGGAAATAGATTTATTGTAAGTGTTTAATTAGAGCAATTTCTTAAATCTGAACTAAATTGCTTTTGGAGTCCTTTTTCTTTGTAAGCATTGTAAATGCTAATAAATTCTGTTAATTTTTTTTTTTTTTACTGCATGTTATGTTGAAATAAAAACAAAGTAAAATGAGCAATTGCCTTATTCTTCTGCTCTTTTGGGAGGTTGGGGAAAGCAGCATTTCACAGCCTGGGTCAGTAGGAAAGGACCTCACTTGTTTCGTCAGATAAGAGTGCTTTAAAACTGATCCAGCCACTCATAATAATGAATTCCTACTCTGTCTTTTACGGTCTTATATTGTGCAGAAGAATCTAATTTTATAAGACTTACAATAACTCTATTTAAGATTAAGGTACTAATTCTTCACCAGGAGACTGACATACTAATGTCAGTTCACCAGAAATTTAAGTGAAATGACTCACCTGCCCACAAAGGTCTCTCATTGCTAAGTGAGCTATTTCAGTCAGCCCACTCTGCCACTTTTTGTTTATCCTGTTAATAATCTGAAATGCTATCAGGGATGACTCATGGAATAGACTTCTCTATATTTATGTCCCTCCTTGGTTTGGATGTAACTCCATCCTTGTATACTCCTTAAGGTTAACTACTTCTATTTAATATTGTTGGTATCTCCAGCCCCCTCACTTTTTTGTTTTCCTTTTAGGGCTATTTACAAAATTATTTGTATAGATGCTATGCTTTCATTAACTAAAAATGGAATAGCAGCACTGGATTATATATTACTGTATTGGCATTCCTTCTTTTTCCCTTGAACTGTAATTTCAAATACTCAGGTAACTCTACAAATATCACGAGGAGTCAAGTGCTCTTATAAAGGCCCTTCAAGGGGCTGCTTCACTTGCATTTCCTTAAAACATGTAAGACTGTTCATAATTAAAATTTTTTGGTCTTTCATTTGCACATTCTTCTGTTAGTCTTGAGTAAAAAGGTTTTCCCTTCCTGCAGGAAAAAAGAGATCTTACAGATTTCTGACTGCTTTTGTAAGTGACCAGGTTACAGCAGGTCTGTACTGGAGTGGGTAGGAAAAAAACCGAGAAAGATCCAACAAGGTGAGATTGGATTTGGCGTCTATTGTGAAGAGAACCAAGATGAAGACATCTGCTTTTCTGAGCCAACTACAGATGATCCAGGTCAGGACCCCAGGCGTGGGTGCCAAGTAGAGAACCACCAGCTAGCTCCCCAGACTGACTGTTCTCAATAAGCTGTACTGCTCACTGGCTTCGGTAGACCTTTTCTTATTGGGAAAGGAGGTGGTCAAGCTCTTGTTTAAAACACAACCAGTGGCCCTGGCTGGGTGGCTCCGTTGGAGCGCTGTCCGATACACCAAAGGGTATCAGTTCCCGGTCAGGGCACAAATCCTGGGTTGCGGGTTCAATCTCCAGTCGGGGTGCATGCGGAAGGAAGGCAGCCATTCAGTGTTTCTCCCTTTCTCCCTTCTCTCTCAAAATCAAAAACATATCCTCGGTGAGGACTAAAAATGTAAAAATAAAAATACAGAACCAGGGGGGAAGAGGCTGAGAGAAGTGAGATTTCCTAATACACTGACCTAACAGTGACTGGAGGACAGGAACTGCAGGTCCTGAAAAGGACACCCTCTCCTGTACTTTCTAGCTGCCCCACATAAGTAGCTAAAAAACTCTAGCTTCAGTGTGACTAATAGGGGGAAGAGGTGTCCTCCACAGTATGAAGAAATCTTACATGAGGAAATGAGTAATTGTTCTTATTGCCCATTTTGCTGTCCAGCCCCAAGCCCTACAAAGAATCAAATTGGGACTCAGCTGTGGCTGACTGGCTACTGTTTTCTGAACTTTTAGGAAGTGTCTCACATTGTGTAAATCCAAAACAGAAACTGCTGTCACACCTATTTCAGTTGTCAATTCCTAAGTGTTTATAGGGCTTCTTTGTGGTCAGGACATTTGGGGGGAGGATTCAAGGGAATCTTTGTGGGTGGCAAGGAAAGGAGGGTGTCAGAAAGACAATGGTCTCTTAGGAACAGGTTCCCATTAAGCAAAGATGCTGTGGGCAAGAGGGTTTCCTCAAGGCATCCCACAGGTAAGGACGTTGAGAATTTGCAGTCACACCTGTAGATCACCAAAAACAGCCATACTGTTATTTTTCCTCATTTCTAATTCAGACATGCTTTTCCACTTGTCTTCGCTATCCTAGCAACCAACACCACGCCTATATTCACTTAGTCCCAGGACAGCTGTCAACATTTATTACTATGTTGCAAACATAGATATGCTGCATGCAGTCATTTAGTCATCTTGGCCACTCTCAGATAAGAAAATGCTGAACGTCATCAACTTGAAGTGTCCATAGCTATTAAGTGGCAAGAGGGCAAATTGGAATCCAGGGCTGGCTCCCAAGACTGCATGCTTAAACACTTTGCGGTACTGCTACACACAAACTGCAACCTTGGGGTCTCCCATAACCTATTCAGCTGTCCCATCTAATTGGTATCCATATCCTGTGAAATCCATCCCCAGAACTTTCAAATCACTTCTCAGAGCCACCCCCATTGCCACAGTCACCTTCATCCCTCGTTGAGTGCAGCAGCCTGTCATTGCTTGCATTCTCTCCCCTCCAGCCCATTAGTGCTGCCTCAGAATGGCCTGTGGAGGACCTGCCTCACGCTTCCTACCTGCTTAAAATCTTACAGCGATTCCTCCATTACCACAGAATAAACTCTAAAACCTCCTAAGCCTGCCACTCAAAGCCAACAACGATCTCCAACTCCTTTCCCCTCACTCTGGCTCCAGTCACATGAACTATTGGCCAGTCTCTGTTTTGCTGCTGTGACTGTGATCTTGTTAAATCCGTTCACCCCTCCTAGCCTGGTTCTCCATATATGTAAGATGGTGGTGATCCTTTGTTTATCTTCCAGAATGTTTCGAGGTCCAGTCTCTGCAGCCCTTACAGAGACAAAACTGTTGCACAGAGTCCAGAGGAGTTCCTGCGCACGCTTCACCCAGCTTTCTCCAGTGTTAACATTCTGTGTAACTTGGTACAGTTATCAAAACTAGTAACTTGACATGGGTAAAGTAACACTAAACTACAGGCTTAATCAGATTCCACCAGTTTTCCCAGCAACGACCTTTTTCTCAGTCTCCTCCAAGCAGTGCTAGTTCCTCATTCTTGTCTTTCGTGACCTTGACATTTTCTGAGTACTAGCAGATTCTTTGTGGAATGTCCCTCAAATTTGATTTAATGTTTTCTCGTGGTTAAGGCCATGGGTTTTTGTGAAAAATACCACAGGGGCGATGTGCCCTTAGTTCATGGCACCGGGGGCGCGCATCAATCGATCCATTACCAGCAAGTCCTCTGGCTAAGGCGGGGTGGGCCATCCTCTGGAGTACAGACGTCCCTGGAAGGAGCACAGATCTCCAAGTAAAAGAGGCTCAAGGGCAGTGGAAGACTGGAGTCAGGTCGTCGGTGTTGGACTCAGCAACCCCAGTGCCCTGAGCGCCTTTGTAAAGGGGTGCTGGGGCTACTGGAGGTGGCACGAGGTTTCACTAGGCGGCAGTTTGTGTTAACAGGTTATTTCCTGCTAGAAAATACAGAAATGTTTGTGGCCTCTGGGAGTAAACGGCTAAAGCGCGGGAAAGGGCCAACACAGGGCTCTGGGAAGAAGGGTCCCCTCTTTTCAACGGTGAGAAAAGCGGAGCGCAGAAAGATGTGAAGCGGCTTCAAGGTAATGGGTGGGGCCGAGCTCGGAGTCCTGAGGCTGCAGACTCCCAGGCCGGCCCAACCACATCACCTCAGAACCTGCCTCCAATATCCCCACGGGGGTCGCTCTGGTGACCCCAGAGACGCTTCACTGCAGCCCCAAAGCCGGACTCGTCCGCATCTTCGAAGCATTTTGGCTGCGAGTCTCACGGCCTCAGTCCGGACGCAGAGAGGGTCTCGGCAGCGCCTCTCCTCGCCTTCATCCCCGCCCCCCGCTCCCCGCTCCCGGCTCGGGGCTCTCAGAGCCAGCTCGGACCTCGGATGAGAGCTGAGAGCCTCTTCAGACACTGCAAACCAGCATCTTTCCGACCCAGCGGGAGCTGGGAGTTTTCCACGGCTCAACTGCTCCGCTGCCTCACGCTTCCCCGGGGCGCAGGCCGAATTCCCCAAGAGCCCTGGGGCATCTAAGACCTGCCCGCCCCCTCGCGCTGGCTCCTGATTGGATACTGGAGCTGTCCGTTTTGACATGGGGCTCTGCGCAGGCGCGGAAACTCACCTGGACTGGGCTGTGCTGGCGACGCTGAGCTACCCGGTCGGTCCGAGATGGTGAGTGTCCGCTCTGAGCTGGTGGCTGGCGGCCGGAAGGTGGCCCAGCAAGGCCGCCCCACACCTGGCACCTGGCCTCCCATTCTCCGGGGGCGTTTCAGAGCGCCGGGCTGGGAATCCGCGGGTTTGGGCCCGAGCGGACCGGAGGGCGGAACGGGAGCGGCGCGGGCCTCCACACGCGGGCGGAGGGGACAGAGAGGACTCAGGCGGGGCCGGGGATCCCAGGCCTCTTTCCCGGAAGCGGAGCTCGGGCCTTGGCTCGGGTCTGGCGGAGATGGGGAGGCCGGCCCGCAGGCCCGTGCATCCCACCATTCTGGGCCTTGTTGCGTGATTGCAGCAAGAACGATGACGTTTCCTGGAGGCTCAGTTTGTGTCAGACATTAATAAGCGCTGTAGGTAGTTTGGCTTCCACCTCACCGCATCTCTGAGACAGGCGCGACCATCAGCTCCGCTTTACACACTTGACGTCTAAAGCCTGGGGAGGCCTATCGCTGTGTCTCAGAAAATGGCGGAGCTGGATTTGAACCCGCTCCTGCCTTTCCGTCGGTGTGGCTCCTTCTTGTGGCCGGGACTTGGTGCATGAATCGGAAATGGGCGGGACCACCCTTGGGGATCCTGCCTTGCAGGCTGGGACTGCGGGCTCCTTACGTCTTTACAGATTTGTTTTTTCATTTTTTTAACCCTCCCAACTTGTTAAAAACGAACAAACTTGAAAACACCTTTTAAATGTTAAGCCACATGACTGTATTACTTTTCAAAAATCTCATCTAAAAACTTAAAGCCTATAAGAAAAATTGAAAAGGAAAGAAGAAACAGTGCCATCACCTAGAGGCATAATTAGGCATATTACTTTCAGTGGTTTTTCTCTTCAGTATATGGTTAGCTCCTACTGAACGTACAGTTGTGGACTCTGCTTTTTTCATTTATTATTACATCAAAAGAATGTCTTCACATCACTAAAAAATGTGACAATGCTTCAAACATATGTAACTTTGTCTTTCACATCACTTTTTAAACTAAACAAAAAGTAATTTTTTAACAGATAATACGTACAGTAAAAAATAATCCGAAAGGCTCTAAATGAAAAACAAATCTCACACCCCCAGTCTGTCTCTTCATCGATTAGTTTCTTGTATATCTTGTATAAGCATATATATGCCCCCTCTTTTTCTTACACAAATTGTAGCTTACTGCAACCTGTACCGTGTTGTTGTGTTTACATTCATAAAACCAAAACATACTTAGACAATTCAAGCAGTACCAAAGTATATAATGTAGAAAGTGCATGAAGTCCCATCTCACTCCCCTATGGTAACAACTGTTGGCAATTGGGTGTGGTTCCTTCCAGATTGGTTTAGTGCATCAGCACACTTACATATAAGCTGTTTATTACATGTTTATACATATCAAGTTTACTTTAGGCTATGTATAGACATCTCATTCTACAACTTACTTTGTTCACTTAAAAATATCAAATTTTTCCCTAGCTGGTTTTGCTCAGTGGGTTAGAGCGTCGCCTGGAGAACTGAAGGGTCCCAGGTTCAACTCTGGCCAAGGGCACGGACCTCAGTTGGAGGCTTGATCCCTGGCCCTGGTCGGGGTGCGTGTGGGAGGCAACCAGTCGATGTCTCTCTCTCTCTCTCTTCCACTCTCTCTGAACAGCAATGGAAAAAATTTTCTCAGGTGAGGATTTAAAAAAAAACCCAAACATTTTTTCACGTCGCCCTGGCCCATGTGGTTCATTTGGTTGAGCCTTGCTCATCCAATGCGCAGAGAGGTTGCCAGTTTGATTCCTAATCAGGGCACATCACTGGGTTGCAGGTTTTGGGCTCGATCCCCAGTAGGGGGCATGCAGGTGGCAGCCAATGTTACCCTCTCACGTCGATGCTTCTCTCTCCCCTTCTCCCTTCCTCTCTTTAAAATCAATAATAAAAACATTTAAAAAAATTTTTTTTTAAAAACAAACATTTTTCCATGTTAATATATATGAATCTACTACATTCTTTTTAGGGACTGTATAGCATTCTGTTGCCATATATACATTTAGGTGGTTTACAGTTTTTTACTTCAGGCAATGCTGCTGTTCTTGTCCATTTTTTTTACACTCATGCTAGTGATTTTGTAGTGTTTATGTAGCATAGATTCCTAGAAACTGCCAAATTGCCCTTTAGAACAGCAATCCTCCATAATTCTCACCCAGTTTTATTCCACCACACAGTTACTTTCATCTCTGTGTTCTCTCTGTTTACATATGCATATTTTTCAAGATGTATATGCTAGGTTTTCTTTTTTTGTTTATTTTAACCTTGTTATCGCATCATCTTTGTGACAAATTGTGCTGTGTAATAACTAGTAAAACAGCTGGACCAGAATTTGCCAAACCATCCCCCTGGTGTACGTTTGCGTTGCCTCTTCTTCATTGGCAGATAATGCTGTGACGAAGGCCTCTGATTGTGTCGAGTTTTTGTAGTAGTTTTATTAGATTATTTCCTTAGCAAAAGTCTCAGGAAAAGAAATTCTGAGGCAAAAGGACCTACACTTTATGGTTCTTACAGTAGTTATCCTGTAGCTTTTCCGAAAGGTCATATTGCCTCTGTACCAATTTTGCCATAATGTTGCAAACAATGAAAAAAGTAAGCTCAGCATTGCTATAATTTTCCATCTCTTTATTTATAGGGAACAATGAACATTTTTCTGTGTGCTTGTAATTTCTCTTGTTTATTTACTTATTGACTTTAGAGAGAGGAAAGGAGAGAGAGAGAAGCATCATTGTGAGAGAGAAACATCGATGGGTTGCCTCCCACACGCAGCCCGACAAGGGATCAGACCCACAGCCTGGTATGTGCCCAGACTGGAACTGAACCCGCCACCTTTTGGTAGATGGGATGACACTCCAACCAACTCAGCCACACTAGCCAGAGCTGTAATTTCTCTTAGGTGTATTTTCTAACAGTAGCCTTTTTGCCCGCTTAACTTTTAGACTTGCTATTTTTCTTAATCATTTTGTGTTATGTTTTGGAATCACTCTTTTGTCCATTATATTTGATGCAGATGTTTTTCTATCCTTTTAATTCATTTTGGTTTTATAAAAATTCAGATTTTTTCCCAGCCAGAGTGGCACAGTTGGTTGAGCATCATTACATGCACCAGAAGGTTTTGGGTTTGATTCCTAGTCAGGGCACATGCCTGGGTTGCAGGTTTGATCCCCAGTCAGGGAGCATATGGAAGGCTACTGATCCATGTCTCTTTCTCTCTTTCTCCCCTTTCTCTCTAAGCATATCCTCAGGTAAGTGAGGACTTAAAAAAAAATTCAGCCCTGATTGATTTGGCCCGTGGTTAGAGTGTCAGCCCAAGGACTGAAGGGTCTTGTGTTCGCTTCCTGGTCAAGGGCACGTGTGTACCTTAGTTGCAGGCTCGATTCCCAGCCTGGTCGGGCACATGTGGGAGGCAGCCAGTGTATCTCTCTATTGATGTCTCTTTCCCCCTCCTCCCTCCCTTCCACTATTTTTTAAAAGCAATGGAAAAATATCCTTCGGTGAGGGTTTTAAAAAAATAATTTTTTAAAAATTCAAATTTTTATGGTTGATAGTCAAATTGGTCACAGTTCCCTTGTGACTCATTTGCTTCAGATAATTATTTCTCCTATGCTGAACCAATCAATAATCCTGGAGTTTTACTGCTACTTATTTTTCCATCTGTCAGCAACACGCACCTGGGACAGAGAACCCTGGAACTTTGTCCTTTCCCTGATGCAGACACCCCTGTTGACAGTATTGCAGACCCAGAATGCTGCAGGTACTAGTTGGGCGGTCTCTGTGAGTTAACCCTGGGGGGCTGCATATTTACTCAGACATTTCTGGTACCATTGGCTAGCACTGCAGGGGTAACAGAATTTGAGTTTGAGGCAGAGCTGCGTGACTGGGATGCCTGACTAGAAGTGTCCTTTTCTATCTGCAGATGTCTTTGTTGAGGTGTGTAGCTTTTTGGCAACATTTGTTTTCTGTCTTGGTTCCTATTGGGCTGAACTTGAAGTTTGTTTTAAGCAGTTTCTCCTGAACCCAGACAGTAGCTGGTGCCCTGTGCCTCATGGAGACCTCTCTAGACCTCATGGCCCCCACTTACCCAGGCCTAGCTCCACCCTACTGGTGGGGGTCAGGTTGGAGACACTATTCTCTAGTCTTACAGGGGGAAAAAAAGGCTACATAAAGATTTTTAACTTCTGATTACTGAAAAAAATCATAAGGTTAAATGAAAAAAGTGGGAGAAGTATAATTTATATGATGGCCAAAAGTCTATTATTTTAAGAGTTTTTGAAAATCAGTAGATTTACAGAAAAATCCAAAGACTCCGAAGAAAAGAGATGCAGTCTGTAAATTCCATTTTAACTTCACTGATAACTCTTAAAAATTAAAGAAAGGTTGGCTTTCTATTTTTTGGTTTTTGCCTGTCAGATTAACAAAGAATCAAGAAACCTGCCAATACCGGTCACCTCTGTTCCTTGAACATGCCAGATTTGTTCCCGCTTCTCTGCCTTTGCTTTCATCCCGTTACCTGGAGTGCTTTCTTTTCTCATCATTTAGTTCTTGGCTTAATGATTACATCCTCGGGTGTCCTGACCACACCAGCCAGAATAGCATCCCCCTGCTCCCCCTGCCCTGTCCCCTGCAAGAACCTTGGTCACTTATTATTTAAAATTCTCTTCTACCAGAAAATGAGCTCCCTGCGGGCAGGGACCTCATCAGTTGTGGTCAGAGGTATATTCAGCTGTTTTCTTGACCTGTGTGTCCTTGGGCAAAACTCTTCTTTCTGAACCTCAGTTTCTTCGTTGTAAAATGGAAATCATACTAACCATGGAAGGGTAGCAGATACTGAATAGGTTATCATATACTTGTATGTCCTTCCTTTCTTGGTAAATGTGTGTTTACTTTAAGCAACCAGATCTCAGTGGCTGGTTCTCATTAAACTTAGGATCACCTAAAACCCTGTCTCTTTTTCTAAAAAATATTGGATATTCTAAGGCCATGTCCCCAATTAAAAGGTTGATTTTTATAAAACATAGTTGCAGAAATGCTTTTCATTTGTTCCTTAAGTATTTATTGAGCCTGTACTGTGCCAGGTACTGGAACTATAAAGTCTAGGTCCCTGCCCTGACTGGTTTGCCTCAGTGGTTGGAGCGTCAGCCTACTGACCAAAAGGTCGTTGGTTCAATTCCCCGTCAAGGGCACGTACCTCAGTGGCAGGTTCAATCCCTGGCCTCAGTTGGGGCTCATGCAGGAGGCAACCAATCCATGTCTCTCTCACATCAATGTTTTTCTCTCTCTCACGTCAGTGTTTTTCTCTCTCTTCCCTTTCCTTCCACCCTCTCTAAAAATCAATGGAAAAAATATCCTCAGGTGAGGATTAAAAAAAAAAAAAAAGTCTAGGTCCCTGCTTCCAGGGTGCTTTGGATCTGAAGGAGACAGATATGAAACAGAGTTACACCCCATTGTGATAAGTGCAATGAAGGCAGGGTGTCATGGATATCCAGAAGAGGGATAGGTGTCAGAGAAGGCCTCGTGAGCTGAGCCCAGAGAGTTTGGAGTCAGTTATATCAAGTAGTGAGTGAGGGAAAGAAGATTGCTTCTTTCCAGGGGGCTGCTGATGCCAGGGCACCTGGCTCAAGCAGGCTGTGCTTGCCCCCTGCAGCCCATTCTGTATATAGCAGCCAGAGCTGTCCTTTTGAAACATCAAGTCTTATCACTGGTCACCTCAAAACCTGCTAGTGGCTCCCCTCATCATCCCCATTAAAAGCCAAAGTCATTACTGTGGTCTACCAGGCCCTCTGAAGTCTAATCTGATCCTGGTTACCTCTCTCATTTTGGCCACCTGCCACTCACTGCGCTTCAGCCGCACTGGCTCCTTTGCCACTTTCCCGCCTCAGAGCTCTTGTACTTGTTTTTTGTGCTCTCTGGAGCACTGTCCCTAGAATCTCTGCATGGTTAGCTCCCTCACAGCCTTCGAATCTCTACTTAGCTGTAACTTTAGTGAGGACTTCTCTGATCACTTTATTTAAAATTGCTGTCAGCCCCTATGCTCCAGATCCCCCTTCCCTACTGTATCTGACATTTATATTTCACTTACTTTTTGTTTAACATCTGACTTCCCACCCCCAAATGTCAGCTTCATGAGGCAGGGATGTTTGTTACGTTTGTTCACTACAGCATCCCCAGGCCTAAAACAATGTCTGGCACGTAGAAGGCACTCATAAGTTACTAAATGAGAGAGTTTTGTGAAATTTTTTCCTTTTTCATTCCAGCCCCACTTTCCATCCTCCAGGGGTATTTTGGACCTTGATTCTGACATCTGTAGTTTTCACTTTCTGTCCCCTTCCCTGGGTTGATTGCAGATTGACTGAGCTGTCTTAAATTGTCTGCAATTTATATATTCTTAATCTTAAAATGTTGAGCATGTCAGAGCCCTGTGGTCCCCATATCAGAGATCTCTCTTGAATATAGCGAGAGAGGGGTTAAAAAATGTTTTTAAATAGAAAAAGTATACTAGAATAAAAAGAGGCTGTTTTGAAAAAAATAAAACCTTATCTATAATCCCTGCTTCCAATGTGGCTTTTTATTTTTTTTCATAATCCCTCTAGCCTTCTTGTTTTCATGTGGTTGTAGTCACCAAGCACTTTATTTTTGCACTTAGCTGTTTTTACTTAAGGTTATATCATAAGCTTTCTGTGGCTCATTCTGATCATTGTTAATGTGTATATTATATTCCTTTGAATGGACATTCCATAATTTACTTGGCCTTTTCCCTAATTATTGGGCATTTTCGGCTCTTTCTGCTTTTTCCTAATGCTGATGTCACTGCAACAAACATCTTGCTGTGTTCTTCTGGTTCTTCTGGATTATTTCCTTAGGATGGATTTCCAGGAAGGTTACCAGGTCAGACTGAGTACTGTGTGGTATTGAATGCCATTGTACTTTACCCCTCCTCTCCAAAATAGCGCATAGTAGGAGCTCAGTGACAGTCCTGTTGAATGAACGATAATCTCATACATACATGACCCACTGTATTGTACTCTCATGTAGCCCTGTCCTTTTACACAGGCTCCAGATTTTAGAGGTAGTGGACTGTTTGCCATTTTGTAGGAGGAATTCATTTGCCCTTCTCTCCAGCATTTGAGAGTATTCTTACATCATAGGGGAGTGGATGGCGGTGACTGGATTGTTAGCTTCTACCTACTAGAAAGACAGTAATTCATTGTGCTATCTCCATCCACTGTTTACAAGCTCCTTCTCCCAGCCAACTCAGTAGCTTCTGGGGGTGGGGGACCACTCTCTTTGGGAGAATGAAGCCTCTATTTCCAACATAGTCCTGCTCTCAGCCTGTGGGGAGCTTCTGGCTGGGTTCTGGACCCATCTGGACAGGGCCTCCAGAGACCAAGTGCACTTCAAGGCCAGCGTCCCACCCGCAGAAAAGAGCCAGGCCTGCCTCAGTCAGGCACAGCTTTTCGAGTCCCTATTCTGCAGTCCATCAATAGGGACTCTTTTTTTTTTTTAAACATATTATTGATTTTTTTAGAGAGAAAGGAAGGAAAAGGGGAGAGAGAGAAACATCTATGAGAGAGAACATCGATTGGCTGCCTCCCGCACGTCCCTCACTGGGGATTGAGCCCGAAACCCAGTCGTGTGCCCTGACCGGGAATGGAATCAGCGACCCCTTGATGCGTGGGGTCGGCACTCAACCACTGAGCCACACCTCTGGGCTCTAGGGACTCTTAAGTAACACAGTGCCTAATGCACCCCCAGAGGGGTACAATTAAGAGTTTGCTGACTCACAAGTGGCAGACTCCACTGAGTTGGGAGTCAGTAAGGGCTTTTTGGAGGAGATGATGTCTTAGATGGTCTAGAAGAATTTGTTGGATTTCAGGAGAGAAGAGGCCTTGTTAGGGTAAAAAGACACAGAGACAGGGAGGTATGGGCATGTAGATAGAGAGTGGAGGGAAGGGTAAAAGATGCGAGTGATAACATAGAATGCCTTGCATGACAATGTGAGGAACCAAATGTGGGATTGTCCCCTGTTTACAAATTCCATGTGCCAGAGTATCCCACCTGACTAGTTTCTGGAGAATCAGGATTAATGAGCTCCTACCCCAGGCACATTTCCTGTGGTTATGAGCCATTTGTCACACTATCTCACATGCTAGCTTATTAAGTCACTGAGTATTATCCTCATGGGGTCATTTTGCTTCCTTTGGAATGTTTTCAGTTGTGCTGTTTGGGCCACAAATGGCAGTGTGTCTTCTTCCTGTTAGACACCACTGTTTGGGGTTTTTTCAGATCATCAGCGTCCTGTCTCCTAGGTTTACCAGATACATGAGTCATGGATGTGTCTATACTCCCAGGAATGGTATTTATATTCTGCTCCCAAATAGCTAAGGCAGGAGGGATAATAGTGCCTAGTAGGCAAAGGGCCAAGAGGATCCCTGCCCCACCCTGGGGGTGTGATTAGATGATTTAGGTGCTGGTGGTAGCTTGAGGACCACTCTAAACAGGCCTGGGGAGCTTTGCAGTGCCATGTGCCCAGGTGTTAATTGTTTGTTGTTGGAAGACAAATGTGTGATTCATCTGCCAAGGGTATGAGGGAGTTAATTCTGCCTTCCCGGCCCCTCCTAACCTTGGTCTTGTTTTCTCTGGCAGGCAGAGGTGGAAGAGACACTGAAGCGGCTTCAGAGCCAGAAGGGAGTGCAGGGAATCATCGTGGTGAACACAGAAGGTACGGCCTCCCTCCGACCATGACCCGCACGCAGGCAGGCCCCAGAAAACGGCCCAAAACAACATAATACTTGCTGTTTACTAAGCCCCTTCATGTACATTAATTTTCACCTTTTTTTTTTTCTTTTTTTCTTTTAATACCTTCAGTGTCCTAGCACTATTATTGGAATTCTAGATTTTAAAAAAGGAAACTGTCATTCAATCCCACTGCCCTGACAGGTCACACTTTTCATTATTCCATGCTTTTTCAGCCCTTGTTCAGGTGCATTGTCTCTGGGCCATAATTATAGTTATTTCTCTTTTGCATATGTTTACTCATGAGGTTTGTTTGTTTTCTTTCATGGTTTACATATGCAGCTTTTTAAACTGCCAGTGCAATGTTTATTACTCATCCCCATTTATTGTTTCTACTTTTTTGCTAGATAATACTCCGGTCAACTTTTTTGTGCCTATAGCTTTTCTCTTCTCTTCTGGAACCTTATTTCAACAACTAGAAGAATACGGGTACTAATTTTCCCACACTGCTGTTGACATGGCGAAGCGGGAGGCTAACATTTCTCACATGCCCACCAATCTGTGCCAGGCCCCGGATGGTGCTTTACAAACATTGTTTCATTTATTCCTTAAAGCAGCCTGTTGTCTCCATTTTGCAGTGGAGAAAACAGTCTAGAAAGTCAGTTGATTTGCCTGCCATTACAGAGCCAATATTTCATTTCAAGTCTGCCTGAGTGCACTTGTGCTCTTTCTCCCACACTGCTGTGAAGGACCAGAGAGTGGCTGCAGGTCTGCAGCCCAGGGCCACGCAGCTGGCCTCCCCCAGTTTTCTAGTTTCATGTATTCCTTCATCTCTGATTTAGTCGAGGTTCCTTCAGAGCCCCTGTGTGTTCGTTGTCATTCTGGGCCTTGTTTTGGAAAGGCAGAATTGTCAACAGTGCCTACTTCAGTAGAGCAGAAGGAAGGACACCAAAGGTGACAAAGTAGAGGTGGCATGTCCTCAGTTAGAATGTTGTTTTGCAAGTCATTAGACCCGGGCCAGCCCAGAGTTAGGCAGAGGGTGCTCCTCAGCTTTGTCAAACTCTAATTAGACCATGTGGTCATTGCATTCAAAGGAGGCAGCAGGTAGGAAGCACTCGGGACTCTGTGGGAAGCTGCAGCAGGTCCCAGCTTAAGTCTGCTACTGACCAGCTGGAGGGCCTGGGCCTTCCCCTTCTCTTCGCGCCTCAGCTGCCCCACATGAACTGGTTGACCCAAGACCTGAAAGACTGTATATCACTCAGAGAGACACTATCTTCTAGGACTGGACCTTTTTTTTTTTTTAATTCCTCATCCAAGGACATGCTTTCATTGATTTTAGAGAGAGAGGAAGGGAGAGGGAGGGAGAGAGAGAAACATCAATGTGAGAGTGAAACATCGATTGGTTACTTCCTGCATACGCCCGACGAAGATTGAACCTTCAACCCAGGTATATGCCCTGACTGGGAGTCAAACCCTCAACCGTTTAGTGTACAGGACGACATGCTAACCAGCTGAGCCACACTGGCAAGGCTAGGAATGGACATTTTTGACCCCACATTGGAGGGAACAGCCTTCATTCTTGCCTTAAAACTGCCCCAAAGCTGAGCTTTTTCATTGGGAAAGTATAGCCCCAACTGCGTACCTTTTGATACTACTGAGCACTTTTTGTATACTGTGGCAGTATTGCACAGTGGCTGAGAATATGGAATGTGGAACCAGACTACCTGGATTTGAATCCTGACTCTGCCTACTTATCAGCTATGAAATCTTAGACAAGTCACTTAATCTCCTTGTTTTAATTCCTCATCAGTAAAATATAATCATACTACCTTCCTCTAAGAAAAGTTTTTAGAATAGTGTCTGATACATAGTAAATGCCATGTAAATGTTAAAATTATTGTGTGTGTTTATTTTTATGTCCCATTCAGAGAGCTCACTCTTCAATCTCTCATTGACATTTCACACAGTGAACCTGAAAGGCAGGGTTGTTTACCCATTTTTCAGAAGCTGAGAGAGGCCAGGTGACCTGCTCAAGGTCACCCAGCTGTGGATGGGGGTGGCCGGGACTCACTTCTCATGGGGCCTTTAAGCCCTCTGGAAGCTTCCAATTAAGGATGATTCAGCGAAGCTGCCTCTTCTGTGGGATGCCTTCCCTTACCACCCAGCCCAGAGTGATTGCTCTTGCCCCAGAACTCATGACACACCCTTGTTCCAATCACCAACCAACCACTGCATTTCAACATCTCTGTGTTCGCCAAATGCAGATGATGTTTCATTATAAAAGTGTGAGTTTAAGCTGCCTTAGCAAGAACTTAAGGAATGTTCTGTTCTATTTGTACCTATTTAGACCCCCTGCTATCCTCTGCTGCTACCTGCACAGGACAAAAAACTAAATGTGTAAGTTCCACGAGGGCAGGGATTTGTGTTCACTACTTTGTCCCTAGCATTGGGAACAGTGCTGGCACAGAGTTCGTGCTTAATAACTATCTGTTAAATTTGTTAATTTTTGCCCAGCCGGCATGGCTCAGTGGTTGAGCATCAACCTATGATCCAGAAGATCAAGGTTTGATTCCCAGGCAGGGCACATTCCTGGGTTGTAGGCTCGGT